CGCACACTGGCTGCCTTGCTAGGGATATTACCAGTGCCGTTCCCGTTGGTGAAGTCACCACCCTGCATCATGAAGCCTTTGATGACACGATGGAAGGTAGAGCCCTTATAGGCGAGCTCCACTTCTGGCTTACTATGGCATTTACCACTGTCACCTGAATAAAGAAGGGAAATAATTACATACCACGCCTTGTACACATTACCTCTGCACAACGCCAGGAAGTTCTCAGCAGTCTTGGGCACCGTATCGGAATAGAGGGCGAAAGTCACACGCCTGGGCTCCTCAGTGCCGACCTATTTCAAGTCTACCATGAGTAACTCCTGTAGTGGAGTACTACTACCTTGATATCCATCCAGGCCTTGGGGAGCTTGGCAATGTCGTGAACTGGGGGTAGCTCAACATCAGCCTTCTCTGAGTAGATACTCTGACCGAACATCGCCCCAAATGCTGTCTTCTCCTCAGCCAACGCCTGGGGGCAAACATCAATATAACAAAGCCTGGAAAAACTCGCATTGCCTCCTTAGCCCTCTTCTTGCAGTCCGCCAAAGTAGTACGAATCTCTCGGTTCTGAGGTTCGGCCCTTGCTGCTATGAGAAGTTGCTCCTTCGCATCCTTATAGGAGGCTATCTCCATCAAGGCAGCACCGTAACGGAAGTGTGCTTTAGTTGATTTCTGGGAGAGAACGAAAAATATACTTCTTAAGAAAATCAAGTCTTACATCGTCAAGCTCAACTGCCTTCTTGCCATACTCTACTGCGGCGTACCAGTCTGCCAACTTCATACAGGAACTACAAAGCATGACGATAAACACCGCTCACACCACTGGCTGATATCACTTTGCCATGTTGAGGTAGCACGGTAGAAGGACCTTATCCTTATCCTCCTTATCAGCACCAGACCAGGACGATGTCTGCTCAAAGTAGTCAACTCCCTCTTTGTATTGCTCCAGGGCTTCTTCGTACCTGACCGCATCACGATAAACCCGATAAAAGTACGGTAGGTAGTACTCGCCAGCCTTGAACGCAGCGTTTCCCTTCTCCTTACAGGCTGATGCAGCGGCGACCTTCTCTTGTTTGGACATACTCCACTTATCACTGCCAACACACAACTATGCACCACAAAGTCGAAGGGTAATAAGGCCTACGGCTTGCCAGGCTTGAAACTGAGTAGTTCTACGTCGAACTTCAACCACGAATTCGGTGGTATCTCAGCGCCAGCCCCCGCGGCACCATAAACCGAAAGTCGGGATGGAATGTGAAGATCGCTCTCTCTC